ATTTTAAAAACCACTCTCAACATCACGTAGTGAACAAATAATATAATTTATTTAATGTTTTAGATTCTTGTTCTTCGAAGAGAATCCATAAGAAAAAGAATAAACTAAAAAAAAATGGATTCAATAGATCGTGGTTCAGTCAAAGATGTTGATCAACAGCAATTTATAGTTGGATTTGCTGAATTTCTTAAAAAAAAACAGGCAAACTTGAAGTGCCACCTGGTAATTGGGTCGATATTGTCAAATTAGGTATTCACAAAGAGATGGCTCCTATTGATCCCGATTGGTATTATACACGATGTGCATCGGTTGCGCGTTTTCTTTATTTTACGCCGAATCGGTGTTGATGCATTTACACGTGTTTATGATGGTTTAAAACGAAATGGTGTACGACCATCTCATTTCCAACGTGGTTCACGTAGTGTTGTGCATAAATTTATACAATTACTGGAAAAAGCTAAAATTCTTGAAAAATTTCCATCAGGTGGTCGTGCGCTTTCACAAACAAGCAGACGAAATATGGATACTATTGCTAAACAAGTTGCTGAAAAACTTGCTCGACAACAACAACAGTAATCAAAACACTTTTTTTGTATACGAAAGCAAAATCATTAAAAAAAGTTAGGCATTCAACAAAAGATCATTTTAACACGAGTTTCTCATTTGAATTTGTTTTTGTTTATAATATCCTGGAAGAAAAAACAATTCATTTTGTAATAGTAAATAAATAAATAAAAGAAGATAGAAATTGAAACAGTGTTTCCAATGGAAATTTAAAACAAAATGTACTGTACACTCTGTATTTTATTAGCAAAGTGTATTTTATACTTTGTTTTTTTCAGCAAAATGTACCAAAGTGTACGAAAGCCAAATTTTCACAACCTGAAAAACAAAATATAATGTTCGTCATTTTTTTCTTTCGTAAGATAAATATTTTGATCTCTAGCGAACAAATAAACGTTATCTTTAATTAATTTAAAATTATATGCGGCTTTTAAGGTTCAAAAATCAAAGAAATCAAAATGTAAACTATTTTAACAAAGTGTACATTNCCTTTGTTTTTCTGGGCAAGTGTACAACAGAGTGTAAATCAAAAGTAGCAGATGTTCCGTACATTTTGTTTCTGCTTGGTACACTTGCCATTGGAAATACTGAATTGAAAGCTGAATACTAACAAATTCAAATCTCGTTTGATCCTTATATTGCTAAAACTATTGACTTTTCCTATTCAATAATATTTCTTGAATAAGCTCTCAAATCGCATTGACTGATCAGAAGGATCATTGACTTTACCTTCATCTATATATCGTATATATGCTCATCCACTGGTAGCATATTAACCAACAGAGAACAACCAGTGACTTTTATTCTGTTGAAATCATAAGTATGCAATATCTGAACCATTGTTCTCACTGATCTGTTATATATTTTTTAAACCCGGTTGTTTCAACAAGAGGTGGCTGTTGTGCATGCAATGATTATTATAAATTATATCGATTTAATCTTACTAAAACTGTTTTATTATACCGGTAATGATGATCGTAAGCTTGAATATTTTCTTGTATATGTTCTCAACAAATTAGGATACTTTTATCATGATAGATCTTCAATCCCTATCAATATAAAATATTACCGAGCTACGGTTGCTTATTTCTTTTTTGTTATACAATGTCAGAAACAAATGTTTGAAAATGATTATTGCGCTCGAAGGAGTATAACGTTTTCAAAATAATTTCTAAGCTAAATAACGATATGTTCATTTAAGTTATTCAATGGACAATATTGGCATAATTGTTCATAAATATTTTATTAAAGCAAAGGAACCATGCGATGATTATTTAATGTATGAGTTTAGACAAATATTAAAAAATTTAGTTGAGAACAGTCGATTAGATGTTCTTATCTATATTTATCGTGATGTTTGACTTTGGATAATTCTTTACTATACCAATATTATGCTCAACAATATGAGCCTTCACTTTATATATCTCTCAAGGTTTATGGTTGCCGAGATCGAATTTACAAAGAACAAATTTCGAGAAACAAGATTTTATCGATGCATTACAATTAATATATAAAATTCAAGTCTATTCATGATTCTTACTTCATTGAACGAATAAAGAACAAATAATCGAATGATCTTGCTTAAAATTTTTGCTGGAATTCATAATACAAACTATGAAATATATAAAGATTACTGTTTTATTCGGTGTGGAGACCAAGAGCAGCGACACCTCTTCGGAAATGGACTGAACTCTCACAGAGTTTGCTTTTATTTTACCATGTCATATAGGCGTTCATCCTCTCAAAATTTCAAATCCCTGAATAAAACGCTGCGAGAAACCTTGCATTCTGTAGCTGAAATATCCGTCTCGTGAAGTCAACTGACATTCCTTAAAATAGTTTCACATTCTATACGAGAAAAATGTTTAGGTGTGACGAAATATAAAATGAAGATTCTTTTTCAAGCTTTTGAA